CCATATACTCCATATTCCAATAATAAATGTTCTGACTACTCATAATCTGATAATAATATTCTAGTCTATCTTCTATCCACCATAACTACATTTTGAAACATTTCTGCAGCGTTTCCCCTAGGGTTTGTATCTTTCATCGCCAGGCCTGTCCCATATATCTATAATGCTGCTTTAGGACCGTTTTTACATAGTCCTTGAGGTTAAAAAGTGCCTTCCTAAAGTAAAAGCAGCATTTCTTTGTGGCCTTTGAGTGTTTTTCACTATCTCCATTTCACTCTTTCCCTTTTGATGCCCAAAAACGGGCTGGCCATGCTTTCTTACTATTAACCAATATTGTGCAGATATTTCAGTGCGCTTTTCACTTTTCTACATCGCTGAGCGGCTGTCCATGTCAAGCTGACTGGTCTATGATGTAGTGACACCCAGTCAGTCACTTTTTGTTAGCTATGATCCCATCATTGGATAACGTGGCCCAATGACTAACAGCAAATTTAACAAGAAGTTATGTAAATGTCTTGTCATGTGGGGAAACACGTGGGTTCAGGAGACCGGTAAGGCGGAAATGGTGAAATAGCGAAGGCCAAGCTACGTAACTGGGCTACAAGGCCCAGGCAATCGTCGTCGGCGACCGGCAGCAGCGCCGCATGGCCGCGCCGTACATTGCCTCTCCATTTGAATGCGCCGCGGTTTCTGGCACCGTGTCCGGCGCGGGACCCGGTTCGAACAGAGCGCCGCGCCATCTTCCGTTACAAAACCCCCCCTCTCCCGCACCCCTGCGCTCCGCCGCCGCCCACTGCGCCAAACCAGCGCCCTCCCGGGCCTCCCGGAGGCAGGCGATCCCGCCGGTCCGCATCGATCACCCGGAGCGTACCCGCGCGAAATTTTGGCCAGCCGATCGCGGCGGCATTCGATCGGGGGGCGCGAGGATGAGGACGCTGGGACAGGGGGGACAGAATGCGAGGGGGAGGGCGCCCGTGGGCAGGGGCGCCTCCGGGAAGGCGACCAAGGCGGGCAAGGCGAATCAGAGCGAGGCGGCGGTGACGCGGAGCGCCGGCAGGAGGTGAGATCGCGAAAGCAATGCGGTCCGTGGGAGACGCAAGAGAGGGAAAGATCCTCAAGAAAAGATCCCCGTGGCTCGGGGTTGGCGGTGTTGGCGCGATCGGAGCCGTCTGAGGGTAGGCGGGGGTGATCTGCAGGGCGCGGAGGACCGAGGAGGCGCCGCCAGCGGCGGGGTCGAAGAAGCGGCAGGCCACGGCGACGAGCGGCGTCTGCAGGCGAGCCGTCAAGGTGACGGTCGCGCGCCGATCCCATTGCCGCGAAACATGGGCGGGGTGGTCTTGAGCGCTCCAGGGCCGCAGCTCGCCCCTCCGCCGCTCGCTTCCGCGCCTTATGTCCAAGCCTGGTGTGGGGCGGGAGGGGGTGGAGCCAAAGGGGGGGATTTTTGAAATTGTGATCTATTTCCACGTGTTATTGAATTATTTGCTGTTGAAATACGATTGTTTTATACTATGAATAATGTTACTATTGTTTTGTACTATTGTTTTTGTACTACTGTGTTTGAGGTGTCTACTTGTTTTGAATGACTTGTCTGTTGTTTTTGAATTACTTCCCATTGTGCTTTTCTTCCAGCAGACCAAGGTGGAGGAGAAGGAGAACGCAGCGTTCAAGCCCACCGGCCTCGCGCCAGTCCCCGAAAAGAAGAGGGCGCAGCCCGGGCAGCAGAATGGCGCCCCGCCGCGGCGGCCTCTCGCACCCCGCCCGGCGGACGCCCCGCAGCAGAAGCCTCCCGTGGGGAAGGCCCCCGCGGGCAAGGGGGCCCAGCCAGGGAAGGGGCTCACTGGCAAAGCGGGTCAATCAGGCAAAGTCAAAGTAGAAAAGCTGGCGCAGATTCTAAACTCTGAGGCACAGGAAGTGCCACAGGAGGCGCCGATGCGCCGGAGGTCCCTGAGGTTGAATCCGAGCATGGTCGAGCCCGTCCAGCCCGCGCCGCGAAGGATTTCAAACCGCAGGCCGGCGCAGCGGCCGCCCGCGTCGCAGGGGGGGATCAGCACCTCGGCGATGATGCAGGGCCGCGCGAATCAGGCGGCGGCGACGCGCAGGTCGTCGGCGAGGGGGCGGAAGAGGCCCAGCGAGGAGCAGGAGGTGGACAGCCCGCAGGCGCCGGCGTCGCCGGCGCCGGACATCGACGGGCCGGACAGGGGCGACCCACTGCAGTGCTCGGAGTACGCCCAGGCCATCTACAGCCACTACATGGCGATGGAGGCCTCGGCGAGGGCCGACCCGAACTACATGGCCGCTGTGCAGGCGGAGATCAACTACAAGATGAGGGCCGTCCTTATCGACTGGATCGTCGAGGTCCACCTGAAATTCAAAGTGAGCGGTCTCCTGCGGGTCTCTTTTCTTTCTCCCTATCCTTTGTTCACATTTGCACTGATGCTGCTGGGGGTTTGGTGTTAAGAAGAATTTCGATTCGCTAGTCCCAACGGGTGTCAGTTGCCTAATGTTGATACAGCAAAGGAGCACCTACGCCCTTTCTATTAGCAGGTCCCGACCAACAGTGCAGCAGCGCGCTTGCCATTTCGACGTTGCATGCACTTGGCACCGCACTAACAAGGCACGTTGTGTATGACCTGCAGCTGATGCCTGAGACCCTATACTTGGCTGTCAACCTAATAGACAGGTACCTAGCAAGGGTAAAGATCGGGAGGAAGAGGCTTCAACTGGTGAGCAGCTTGTTCCTTTGTTCAACATGGCAAACCTTGTGTCTACATTGTTTTTCGGTGAACAAGAGCAACAGTCTTGCAGGCCACCTGCCGATCTTTAACTGTGTAGCAGGCTTTCTTCAGATTGTTGGTTTGTCAAACGCGACCCCGCTGCTAAAATGTTGACTGCTGCACTGCTGTAACAGCAGTCTGCAGACACAAGATTTGGGTGTGCAAGTTGCTTTGTGCATTAGTTTCTTCCATAAGCGTAGCTTGCTGTCTGTACTATGACTGTCAAGATGTGCACTGCCAGTGCCTTGTGCTGCCATCCTCATTGTTGGCATCTATTAACAACAAACCATCGCCTTTTTGTTACCTGTTCGATGCTGCAGGTTGTCACTTACCTGCACAGGCAACTGATCCTGCCAGTGTTACCCAGGTTGGCATATCTGCGCTGATGATCGCTGCAAAGTACGAGGAGATATGGGCACCTGAGGTTCGGGACTTCATTCAGATCTGTGACCACGCCTACACGCGCGCAGACATCCTTGCCATGGAGAAGAACATGCTCATCGAGCTGGGCTGGAAGCTCACCATGCCCACGACATACCACTTCTTGTCAAGGTTCCTTAAGGCTGCGGGCAGCCAGAACGACAAACACATGAACATGTTGGCCGCCTACATCACGGAGCTGTCTCTGCTCAGCTACAGCACCCTCAAGTACAAGTTCTCAGAGATCGCTGCCGCAGCAGTGTATGTAGCTAGAAAGGCAGCAAAGGTACCAAACTCGTACCCATATGCGCTACAGAAGCATTCGACCTACAGGCTGGCGGACTTGTCTCCATGTGTGGAAGACCTTGTGGAGCTGATGAAGAAAGCCGGAAAGGACCTCACCAAGGCGGTGCACAGAAAATATTCGAACGGCAAATACCACAGTGTGTCGACAGAGACAGAGCCTCCACAGCTGTGATGGGATCTGGGACGTGGGTGGGGGAAAGGGTGGGCTAGGTGGAAAGGGGGGAGGGGCATGGCCTGCCCAATAATGGTTGGAATCCTGTTGCATGCCAGATTGTGGCCTGGAGGTGTGGGAGGAGTTGTGAAGGGCAGTTGTCAGGGCGTTGGGGGGAGGGTGCCACCAGTGTACATGCACGAGAGCATGGGCTAGAAGGAGGCACTGGGGTTGGCCAGTTTTGTAACTTCTATATCGTGACTGGCAAGCATAGCAGACAGTGAGGCCAATGAAAGGATAATAGTGAAATGCCAAACAATGTAAAGTGTAGTGGATGCAAAGTGATACTCGCATTCTGCACTATGTGCTTTCACTGCCGCACAAGGCGCAAGTCAGCAGGATATGCAGCCGCTTTGCTGTTGTGGGCCACTGATTATGGGTCGCACGCGTCAGGTCGCTCAAAGACGCCGGCCTGTGTTGGACATGTGAATTTGTTTCACAACATGCAGGACAGCATGCTACATAATTAGGAGGCGCACTGTACCCAACTGTGAAAGGAAGGAGTGGGCATAGCAAGGATTCCAACGTGCACATAGTGTTGTCCTGGGAACGGGCTGTGGGGCCACCCACATGCATTGAAGACGTTGTAGGACAGATTGTGAGCGGGGTAAACACATAGGGCTCAATTTCAAGGAGATAGTGCTCCCTTGAAAGCTTGCTGTGTGCATTGTCCCCCATTGAATTCAATCAAGAAATCTTACAGTTCTGCACAAGGAGGTAGCTGTCAGCAACCCATCTCGCTCCTGAATTCACATACAGTGGCATGAGCACCAGCAAGCAGGCAGCCGATTTCCATGGGCGCACAGCATAGCCAGGAATGGGCATGTGCTGCCCCAGGACATGGCAAGCCAGTTTCTACGCCAATCCTGAACAGGATGGGCGAATTCTGGGTGAGGCAAAATCAAGTTCTGCCAGTGCGGCAGTACAGTTTGGATCACGCTGATGCGTCTGAATGGCAACAATTGGAAGAGTCTGCACACCAGCTCGATGGGGCACCCCATAAATTTATAACCCAAGTCCGGCTGTTTGGTGTGGCGAGTGTTCAAAGGAGCCTCCGCACAGCCCAGCCAGACCTCTTGGGCACCCTCCGAGTCATTCATACAGCAGTGTCTGGAAGTCCAAAGCCAGGACAGCACTCATCTTCATGCCCAGGTAAGATGGCGCAGAAATCAGGCTGATGCGGGCACCCTGATCAGCTCAGCAAGTGTTGCATGGCCACAAACAGCAAAGGCGCGAGGTCAGGCCTCTCGCTCTTGCAGGCGCAGCTGACACCTTTTGCACCCCTAGAGAACCGCAGCTCCAGCAGCAGCTGGGCGGCCAATCCTTCCACCTGGCATGTCAGGTACATTGCCTCCTGGTTCATGCCTGGAACCTGCATGAGTAGCAAGTTACCATGTAAAGCAACGAACCTTCACCAGTACAGGCATCCCACAAGCAACACTTGTCTTTCTGACTCCAACACGATTAATACAAACACACTGACTAGAGGGATTCATGCACAGCAGACATAGAATTCAATCCTTGAAGCCCATGCCCATTCTAATCAGTGAATTAGGTGATCCACTGACAACATGGGACTGGCAGCCTTGACATGAAATGCCTTCTTAACTTGCAACTGTTTCAGGCCAAATTCACAAACACTTGTGTGCCACTTCTGCATTGCAGTGTGGAAGACGAAGCGCAGCAATCCGCCAACGGCAGAATGCACGTTGTTGTGCGCACAACGAGCGACCAGACCAGCAATTACAGACCCAGTCCACCCGTTTTGCAATCAACAAACCAAAAGTTACTGCTGCAAACGTCATTCAACTAGGGCAGCAAGGGCCTCAAAGATAAAGAACAATTGGCTTCGGTTGACTTTGGCAAAATGCTCATATCTGTGCCAGAGAGACCACAGAAGCACTAAAAAGGGGGTCACTTCCAAGAAGGATAACCATGCTATCCCCTGGCTGTGCCTGGACCTGTGTCCACAACAAGAAGCGCAGCTTCCCCCCGTGCAACAAAAAAGCCTCTCATCGACCAACTGACACCATGCTTCCCCACCTATCCTTGCACCATTCAGGAGCCGCCACAAGTTTGGAGTTCTGCCACAACAGGACAGAGACATGACACTGCCCAGCACTGACGCTCCTGGCAGTCCAAGCAACAATACCAAAGGCCCAGGAGGGACAGATGATACACTTCACATCGCGCCCAAACCAGCCCACTGTTGTGAATTACCTGGCGGTGTGCCATGCAAAAAACATTGGCAGCCTTGAGCTTCGCCAAAGTTGCGTCAACATCCGTTATTGCCACCTGCAATGTCTCCGACCGCTCATTCTCCCCAGCCAGGGTGCGCCAACTGTCCAAGAAAACATTCTGCGGAATCTCTCCGCCCTCAATGAACAGCGCTTCCAGCTCCACAGAATCGCTGATGTACAACACCCCCAGCTGGCTGGTCTTCACAGCGATCTGCAATGTGTTGGCAGCCTGACCAGGTGCAATTTTTGCAGGCACATGTGCCAGTGGTACAGATGCTGCCGCCACTGTGCCAGGTGCCACACTTGCGACGTTGACAACCTGCAGGACAGGAACCCCATCCTGAAGAACAAGCACGGACCAGCAACCACAGCTGAGGGCTGTGCTTGCTCATATTCTTCAACCGATCGCAGTTGTAAAAGGAGTAACAGCATTTAATGCTGCTACATGTGCCAATAAAACATGTGTTCAATGCATTGTGCCTCTGTCCTGTGGTAGTAAATCACTAACTCCATCCACAGCCTTGACACTCATGCACTGAATCTGATCAGTTCCATGTGCGATTCAACCCATTTGCATTTCGAATCTCCAGTATGGAGGCTTCTGCTCTGCATTCTTTTGACAGACCATATCTTTGGTGCACTCTGCATCATGTCCAGTGGCCGTAGGTTGGGCTCATCTTCTGACCAAGCTTTGCGTGCAGCTGACAAAGACCAACGGCCTTTGCTGTGTGTGCACTATGGGACCAAAAAAGGGGAGTGGGGTGGGGGGAGGGGGGGAGGAGCCTCTGAGAGGGCATTGAGGATGGCAAGACGTAGCACGTGTTCATGGCACTGTGCCTCAGGAGAGGACAGGCTGCAAAGGCTGTTCGCCAATGCATAACATACCAGGCCATATTTACTTTGCAACTGGACGAATATCCACAGCAAGAGCAGCTGCAGAAGCAGCCCGGACAGGACAACCAACCACAATTCAATGCAGGTCGTCCATAGCTCTGCAGATCTGCCGGTTTGTGGCTGTGCAGTTGCTGTGGGAAACAGCGCCCATTGGGTGGCGAGCCAAGGCAAAGTGCCAGGAGAATTATTGGTTTCGCAACTTGGCTTGCTCTGCATGCGTGCCTTGTGTTTAAGTTCAGCGTGCAAGACAAATCACGCTATATGCAAGCGTATCCAATAAAATGCTCTTACGGGCAGCTGCAAGCCCGGCCATATTTGCAGTCAGTTAGGACCTTACACCTTGGCAGCTCCATATTTTTGGCAACATCGTTATGTTTTCAACGTTGCTCCCCACAGAAAGGCCCAACGTTATGTTGTGGTGTGGAAGGTTTAATACATGATGGCAGTGGTCACAAGCAACACAAAGACTGTGCTCTGGGGATTTCAAAACTTGGATCTTGTAACCATGGGTTGGCTCACTTTGCTCCTCCCAGGAGGCCCACTGCTCATCATATGAAGGGCCACACAAACAGCCTATGCCTCCTGGAAGGCAATGAGCAAACAAGGAGGCACGGCAGTGCTAGCATCAATGTGTCCAATCGACAAAAAGGGATGAGTGCAATTGTCGTCTGTTGCTTGCGACTGTTGCGAATCTTTCTCACACTGACCAAAATAACACTAAAGCACAAACCACAACAACCCAGAGGTATTCTCTTACCCATCCCCTTGCCCCCTCCCATTCCACTGTATCTGCAGGCTACAGGACTCGCAACCATCAAACAAGAACATCAACTAGTTAACATGTAAACTCAAAAATTTAGGCACACAAAACAAGCGCACATTATAAGCACACAACTCACCTGGTTTGCAGGTTGGAGGCCAAAGGAGTTCGTGTTGAACTGCACCATGAAGCCATCTATGGAGACACCAGCAGCATTGCCAAACTGCATGAGGTACACCATCTGACCGCCTTGCCTGGCGAGCTGGCCGCCAATCGTCAGGCCCTGCCCCCTGTCAGGCGTCAACACCACTGGTAGTGTGACAGACTGGGGTTGGCTCACTGCAGCCGTGGGAGCAGCAGCCCCAAAGCTGCCAAAAGGATCCACAGGAACAGCGGCTGCAGGTGCAGCAGCTGCTGGTGGGGCACCCATGTCCAGTCCACTCAAAAGGTCCATCACATCATCCACTGCAGCGACAAGGAAAGCAGCTGAGAAACAGGTGCTGCGGGCAAACTAATGGGGAAGTTACTTCTGCCTCCAATGCCAATTACAGAGTCTAGTGTGGCATTGGCATGAGTGGGTTTTCACTGTGTAACGAAGAGCAATTGTGTGTCTTGCTCTGGCGGCAACAGCATCAGTGCCAAGGGGCAGATCGCACAAGACAAAGATGCCAATTGACCCAAACTCGCACGCAGGCAACCAAGCAAGCAGGCTGTAAGGGAGAAGGGGCCAGCGCTGACTGGCATCCAAAGTCCTCAGCAAAGCAGAGGCTTGCTGCTCTGAGCACCGAAGCTCATGAACAAGGGTGTCCAAACGTTGCACTTCCATGGTAGCTGTCAATAAATGCTGCATGGTTTTGTAGTTCACGAACGACCACCCCTGTGACTCAACGCATGACAATCCCCAGTGACTCTATGCCCAAGCAAGCTGGCCACAATGGAGGAACCCATGCAAGCAACCGGCCAGAGATCCAGTGCCAGGTGTCACACCGTCCCAACCCATATACCAATCCCATGGCATGGCCAACATGCACATCCACAGTTCAGCACACTCGCCACCAGTGCATTCTGCTTCTAACAACAGCACCTATTGCCCAAAGGCTGTGTGCTGAACAGGGCCACCTCCAAGTGTTCTCACAACAGTGACTGCTGCAGAACTCACCAGCAAGGGGACAGGAACCCTAAACCTTGGGAACAGTTGCGCTGACGTAAAGGGCCAGACATGCCCAGTCAGCGATGGCAGTGGCCTGGCATTTCTTGATGGAGACAACCAGCCTGGACCTAGCACCTGGCCCACAATTCCCAGATATTCCATGCATATACAATTGTACATGCAATAAGTTACCTGGAGATGGTGCAGGTGCAGCTGCTGTTGGTGCCGCTGTAGGTGCTGCAGGAGGGGGTGCCGGCCCCCCCATGTCCAGCAAGTCGCCCAACAAGTCTGCCTGTGGGGCTGCAGTAGGAATCGGAGCTCCTGCACTCGCAGTTGCGGGGAGCTGCGAAAGGCACAGGGCTGTTGGTCAGGTCATCCCAAAATTCAGAACCACTAATTCAAAACACGGCACCAACAATGTGCACATGCTTCTGGTGCTCAGAAGTAAGCAAACAAGGTCTCAAATTTTAACATGACACAATAATATTCTGAGATACATTTGCTACTCATCACAAACCTGACCTCTCGTGTGCGCTCCTGCCCTTCGGGCGCAGTTGTCAGCTCATCTTCGAAATGAGTGGACTCCATCTCATCTGCCTTTTGCACTGCCAATCGCGTCTTGCTGATGAATGTCCCAGCAGGCTTGTGGTACACAGATGCAAGAGTGGACATCTGAGCAAGCAATTCTTCCAGCAGCAAAGGCTCCAGGCTGCCAGTGTCATTGGAAATGACTGGTTTCTCTGCCAGAACGATGTCCTTTGCAGCCTAGTGAGCACATGACATGCATCACCACATAATGACCTGATTTGGCTGCCGTTTGTGTGTAAAGCACTGCACCCCATGGGATGGAAGACAACTGGCCCACCAAGTTATTCTAGGCTTGTTTGTTGATGCTGCACGGGCACTCCAAGAAGCACCACATTCTTAGCCATCCTTGAGCATAATGCAATAGGAGCCTTAGATTAGACAATGGCATCACAAGGCATACCTAGGATGGTGACATGTGCCTTGTGGTCATAAAACTGTTTATAGGACACTGTTTACCCCCTGGACGTCTGTAGGTGTGCCACACCTGGAGGCCAACCAACCGACTCGTTCAATACATTGGCATCTCCAAGCAGATCTTAACATGGCAATGATCTGCTGTGCAGCTCCTCCTTAACCATCGAGTGCACAAGACGTATGCTCACCTCCGGATCTGTGCTGAGGAGCCTCCAGTAGACAAATGCCCTGTCCCTGATGTCTGGATTGTCCACTTCTGACGTTGCAGCTGACAGGACAAGAGATATCATCTTTTGCGCAGATTCAGTGGGCTTCTTCAAGAACAACTTGACCGTTGATGTTAGCAGCTGCAGTTGGACCTGAGTACGATGCAAGCACAAGTTTGGAGCAGCACTTAGAACCATGAGGCAAAGGTGAAAAACGTTTGTGCAACAGGGAGACCCGGCATTGGGCGCATCTGTCTGTGCCATCGCCACCTACAAAGGGCACTGCTTGCCTTGGCAATTCTGACCACTGGGATCCATGGAGCTTCACAACAGGGGATGTTTTCCAAATGGACTACAAGTGACAGTCGAACAGAGAAATCCATGGCAAGGACAATCACATGCTGGAGGCCAGAGCACCCACTGCAACCCCTGTTCGAACCCAACTTGGATACAGCAGAACGAGATGTGAGGATTCGGGCAACCAGCTTGTCATTTAGCCACAGACATTGATAGTTGAGCTTCTGTGCCACAAACCTGTAGATTCTCATATCAGCACGATGCTTCTGCCCTAAACAGATGAAGCAAGGATGCAATCATGCACAAATGAATGAACAAGGCACTACTGGTTCGTAAATATCCAAATCAGGACTTCTCTCAAGCTGGGGCACCCATGCACAGTTTTGAACAACACACTGCTCGACTCTAGATGCCCGGAGTATGGTTTGTCAATGTCAGACAGTACAGCCACACACACTCATGACCCCCACCATTGCAGATTCTTCAGGGAATGTCTCCAGGAAAGTCTCCAGGAGCTCATCCGCATTATCAATGCGCTCTGCATACTCGCCGATGATCCACACCATCGATGCCTTGGCCTCTGGCTCGTCCAGACTGTCAAGATTCTCGCACAACGTCGCAATTATGGACTCGTACTTGTTGGGGTACCTCCTGAAGATGTCCTGCCCAGTATCAGATTCTACAAGTCAGCACACCAATTTTCACAGCAGACACAAATGGACTGGAGTATGCCCTATATTGGGCACTCCCCTCAGCAGGCGTGCTCAAGACAATGCTGTGTGCTGCAAGATAAGTTGCTGAAACACCTCACAGTACCAGGGAGGGTGCATGACAAGGAAAAGCACTTGTAGCAACACCTCTTGTAACATTCGTATCGCATATTATGAACATAGGGAATAGACAAACATATGACAACATATAACATATCTAAACATAAAACTGTTGCCCTCAAAGCAATCAACGTAGAAAGGGTATGCACCTTGATCACGATAATCGCCTCTTGCACCACGTAGTTGACCTTTGTCTGGATCAGCTCCAGCAGGACTTTGATGCAGCGCTCTGACGCCTCCTGCAGGCTGATCGCACAACGGCCAATCGCCCTGACAGCCTGGCAAAATGAGAGAAGAAAGGCACCATCCATTCAATGCTGATCGTCGTGTATCCACAACACACCATGACATGTGAAAGGCATAAGCAGTCCACATTCCAATAGCATTTCGCTGCGACAAAAAATGCAACAATGCCAGCTGGAGGGGCACAACACTTTTTTCCATGTAGCCAAAAAAATTCATCTAATGGAAGGAAAACAATGTCTCTTTGAATTGCAGAGGCATGTCACAACCAGGGCAACCTGTTGTGCAGTGGACAAGGTACAATTCTCTCTTTCACAATGAAACAATCTCTGTAGACATCAACGGAAAGCAATGTGTCTTCCCCGTGCTCTTACCTTGCGTACAAAGTCCACATCCACCTCCTGGGCATATTCCTTGAACTCAAGGAGGACCTGGTCAATGTTATCTGGCGTCACAAGCTTGATCATTATCTCCAGCTTTTCTAACTTTACATAAATAGGGTCATTGTACTTGCAGAAGAAGACCTGTTTGCACAACAACAGCAGGTGAACGGGGCAAACAGAATCACTGAAAAGATCAATCGGCAATAGGCTCATGCTGAAGCAGACCATAAATCTCTTCTAATGATTACAGTTGCCAAACAGTTGTCAAACCTTTGCCCATGTCATATGTGGCAAAGGCAACAATTGAGGTACAAACACCAAGGAAACTTCCAGTTGCTTCTTTGATGACATTGCAACTGTTTATTCGATGTCCAATCGGGACAAGGAGGTAGATTCAGGCTGCTATGGGCATTGACAAATTCATTGGTTGCAAACAAGGGCACACGATCGCCGTGGACAATGGCAGAAAGTGAGTGACCCAACAGCTCATTGATTGAAACATAGTGCAGTCACCATGCCAAGAGCAACTCAGCCTGCCCTTGTACCTTTGCAAATTCTGCAATGATCCCGTGCATCAAGCTTGAGCCAGATCAGGTTTTGAGCATCAATGCACAGATTGAAGGTAAATGTCCACAAAGTGATCTCTCATAGATTGGACAACGTTGCAGGAGCTTTGTGTGCATTTACAATGCCCGATCTCACCTTTACATCGTTGGTCAACACTTCGGGCCTCTTCTGCACAATGAGGCTGATGTTCCTAAGTGCAACATACTGCACCTCAGGCTCTGTGCTCAACAGTGTGACAAGAGGAGGGGCCATCTTTTTGTGCCACAGCTTCAGCAGGCTCTCATCTGTAACAGACGACATTTGCCGGAGGATAACCTGCAACAAAGGCACCCATGAAGATGTTCGAGCTCACCACCGAAACTATGCCTAGACTTTAGTTTGTGTCACTGGTGGGAACAGAAACAACAGCATCTCAGAGATAAGAACGCGGAATAATGAACAGTTTCAAACATTGCCTTCAGGTGGAGCTCTCCAGCAGTCAAGAAATGGCTAACCAAAGTGCGGGCGTCCCTGTCATGCCATGCACCTGTCGCATTGTGTCAAACAACGCCCACCTTGATCGCGGACAACACCACAGCTCCGTTTGCATGCTGCAGCCTGGGCAAAACTCGCTGCACAATGTTCTCAGCTTGTTGTGCGTCCTTGGACACATACGAAGCCATGGAGTCGAGTATGAACACCTGAAAGCATAAGCCACAGTCTTCTCAAGGCTGCTGGCACATCCATGGCTCACACAGCAGGTGAAAACCTTCAGCGTCTTGCAGATGACCAGGCCCTCACTATCCGAATTGATGAAAGCAAGTCAGGAACACATGTATAAAGCAAGGGAGAAGCACATTGCATGGATATGGATATCCCAAGAATATTGTGACGTATTGCAATCAATACCCTAGAACAAGTGTCTTGACCTGCATCAAGGGCGACAGACAATGAAGCATGCAATGCCACACACAACAAGCACGGTGCTGCACTATGCTTGCAATCACAGAAAAGATTCTCAGAAAGTTAATGCAAAGGTGGCGATCTGCCCTCACCTGGCCCCATTCCGTGCATTCGTTCAGAGCTGCAAGGAGCTTGAAGACTGTACTGTCCGTGACCTGGAGGACCTCCTTTCCGCTCAGCTCCTGGATTTCTGCCAGGGCAGCAACAGCATTGGCAACCACCATTGGGTTGGAGTCTTGCAGCATGTCCTGCAGGAACATGCGATTCAGCCAACGTTACGCGATCCAGTCAAGAGCATTGTGCTCCACCTTCGTGTCTGCCAGGCATGCATGTCTATGAAACATACATCCTATTGTGCCCATTGGCAGAACGTGAACATCCAGAAGAAGCAGAGCTGGTATGACATCCGCGGACAAACGTCGTCACCCTACCCTCAGCTGGTCAAGGAAGCCCCTGTCCTCAACAAGCTCTGGGTTGATGTCATGGAGCTTTGCAACAGCAATAGCAGCTGTCTTGCGCACGTAGGGGTCGTCATCCTGCACCATCCAACTGCATATTCAGAATTCCCACCAAGAGAGGATTCCTGCACCAGCTGGATACTATGCAAGTGCTGCTGCAGCTATGTTTGCGCATGAAACAGGATGGCAAGGATCTGCCATCCTGAGCAGCTCAACAGACGCATCTTCTGCAGCAACCAGAGAAGGACCTCAACCTGTGACGTGTGCTGCTTACCTTGAGACATCTTTGCAGTGGATCGCATAGGTATTCAGTTATCTTGTCGACTCGAATGCATCCCATCGTCCTTACAGCAAGAGCCCTTATGAGAGGGTTGTTGTCCTGTGAATCCTGCATCGGGCAGCTGCAAAACACTGATAAGGAACAGGACAAGCAGGTTGCAAATTGGTCATCTCCCTCCCTCCAGGTGTCACAGACTTTCGAGAATGCGATTTGGACGTTTCTGAGTGCAATGAAATAAACATGCTGACCGCAATGAAAACATCAACAGCAGAGTTGCACAACAGCATTGCAAACATTCCAAACACTGTGCTTCGCCTGCCTGCCAGGACATTCAAACTCGCATGGTATTGCTGTTTCTGGCATCCACGCCAGACTGCACTCCCATTTCAGTGACACCCAGTTGTGATCCGAAGGCTCATGCAAATCAACCCAGACGGGTCCAGGAAGACAGGAACCTCCTCAGGCAATCGTCCTTGATCGTTGCTGCCCACCTTGACAAAAGTGTTCACAGCCATGATCGCCAAATCTGGCTGTGTCTTCGAGTAGTTAATGAGGTAGAGGTACACCAACTTCTTCAACTCCAGATCCTCCGTCTGCATGTTGTTCACGACGTCCGGGAACAGCATGGAGACGTCCTTGCCCACGGTCATCGCGGCAATCACCTTCTTCACGGCATCCTTCTTTTTGTGCTTCTCCAGGTTGCGGAGCTCCTCCCGCAACTCCTTGATCTCGCCTGTGCGCCGCAGCCGCGCCTCACGCAAGGGGACCTCGCACACCAATTGGCCCCACCATGAATGCCCATGGACGGTGAAATACCGTCCAGGCGCACTCCGCGCAGCCATCTGCCTAACATAGAGTATCGCCGTGACAAGGACGGGGAATACACAGATCACGCTAAAACGGCATGGCCAAGCACACATTCGAACTCGCCACCTCCCCAGGCGCTTCGCATAAGCTCCAGATAAATCCATCGGCGGATGGATCCACAACCACACAGCGCCACAGCCCAGAGATCCCTCCGAACAGCGGGCCGCTTGAGGCGGCAGGCAACAAAGGACGGATTGATTCAACAGCGATCATGCATGCCGCCCCCTGGCAACGTTCCGATAGCTGCTGCGAGCGCCGTCGTACCTCTCTTGGTCGTCGTGAAGTACTTGCTGTCCGACATTCTGCCTCCCGCTTTGCACCAGTGGCGGTGCTAATCAGGCGCCAATCAGCCGCGATTCGACCGATCCTTGTCGCAGCGCCAGCGGAGATGCGCCAGCTCCAGCGGCCCCGCTTCCTCGTGGCGATGGACGAAGGAGCGAGCGAAGCACAGCGGCAAGGCGCGGGGCGCGAAGCCTTGGCTGCGGTCGCTGCAGGCCCGGGCGTGCACCCAAATCAAGAGCGAAAAATGGGGTGGGGTGGCACTAATGAGCCCCTGTGCGTGAGCCAAGCCCCTGTGTGTGTAGCCTCTGTTTGGCATTTTTGACCTCGCGACGGGTACAGGCGTCCCGCGCATTCCCCTAAAGCAAAAACCTACGGTTACCTACGGTAGCCTGCGGTATGCATGACGCTTGGCACTGCGTAATGTTGTGTTTTCGTTGTCAGCGAACACTCAACGGCACTGGACGCCTGCGCCCACTCCTGGGGCCGTGGAGCGCTTTTGCGGAACTTGCACAGGCGAAGAGCGCCCGCCCGGCCCCCCGCCAAGAGTTTCAGGGACCGCGGCGGCCTTTGATTGGGAGGCGTGCCCCGGCTGCGGCTCATGGCTGCGTGACGACGGGCGGGCGGCCGGCAAATGGCGAACCGGGGCGTCAGGGCGGACGCGTTTCAGAATGACTTTGACAGGCTGGGCATCGTCCGATTTGACCCGCCCCTGCCGCCCCCGAGGGTGCCCCTGCCTGGGGTCGGGACGCCGGATCTGGTGAGCCCTGAAACTTCCGACGTGCACGTTGTGCGGAAGGCATTGCCTTGAAGGCATGCCCCTTCATTGCCTTTGTGCTCTGGCTTCAACACCCGTGACCTGACTGGCATTCCCCTTTTTTCGATCGGGGCTGAGGGGAGGCGTTACGGATGCAGCTTTTCCAGTTGAGATATGAAAGGCATTTGTGTTTAGCGTGTGTGTTGGAGTAGTGCTGTGGGAATTGATGAATCTTTAGGGATCTTGGGGAGTGTGTGTGCGGTTGCCGACCGCTGTAAGTTTGTGAGGCGCTGCTGGTGATGTTGTTTGAAGTGTTTTCGAAGCGAGGAAGAGCGGCAGGCTTTGGAAGCCAACTGTAGAGAAGAGGTGGCGAAGCAGTGCGTTGAAGGTGCAAGGTAGGGCAGCGCCAAAGATGGCCATGAACCTTGGCAAAGGCAAAGCATAGTGTTAGATTGATTTGTCGTAGTGGATTTCAAGCTCTGCTAGCTGGTGGTGATGGAGGTTCAAGCGAAATTTCCAATTGCATCGAGAAGAAATTGGACCTGTGCAAATTGTTTTCCACATCGTTTCAGCATTCATTTTGGACGGTCGCACGGCACTGCTGCTCCTTGGCTGCAGTTGAGTTTCCATCTTGTCTGTGCAGGAAGAGTTGTTCAATGAATGCTCTACGGCAATGCAAAACACCCTGGTTGCTGCAGTTCCTAGGCTGGAAAGGTGGAGTTCATTGTTGTGGATGTTGGTATGGCTTTTACAAGGATCAAAGTGACAATTTTTGTGCTGGAAGCTGCTCTCGTCCGCGGTGGTGTGGGGCTCAGTAGTTGGGAATATGCACATGGACCTGTAAAAGGTCATCCTGACACAGATCACCTGTATCAGGATTCACATTTTGCAACCTGGATGCTGTCAGCCTTCAAGACTGGTGCTCCACAGCTCAGACCTTGTGACATTTGCCGTGAAATGACAAAGCACAGCCCTTGTACCTGGAATGTGATGAAGGTCAAATTTCCCACATTGTACCTTTATTTCCTTGGCATTCCACAGATGGAAAGCCCTCACCCAGATTCCTGGCTAGCAGCCTGGCAGCTGAGTTGATGGCAAGTGCTGTGTGTGACCGCTGCAACATGCCTCGCGACAAGTTTAATTGTTATCGTGTTGTGACGGATTGTTATTGCTTCCAACAGTTAAGGACTCTCAGGACATCGAGATTTGTCAAGATAGGTTTATGAAGGTGGGCCGATGAAGGATCAGCAAGTCTGCTGTTGACTGTTGACTGCATGCGCTTTGCCTCCTGCCAGTGTGATGGCGTTGTGAATCAAGAGTTTCGTAGCCAAAGCCTGGACAAGGATACAGTGCTGCTGCTGAAACGTGCATTCACAGCAAGTGTGCAGCATGCACAGCTGACACTGGGCAGTGTGTGGTGCTGTGCCTTCCAGGGGTGTGTTTCAGATGCTCATGTGCAGTGCGGCAGCCACGCGTCGGGATTTTGTTCTGTGGCATTCCCAGCACACCAAAATTAGAGGAACAGCCAGAGCACACTGTGCCAGCAAGGAGCAGCACACATGACCCTGCAGCTTCATGAAGAACTGCATGGCTTTCTCTCACAGTGACTGCCAGGGCGCATATTGCGGAAGGTGAATGCCATTAATGCACAGTCTGCCCCAGTCCAACCTGTCCCTCCGATGGTGGACCTGGATGAGACAGCCAGGGGATTCTCACAAAAGGTGGAAGCACCCCATCTGGTCGTTGACGCTTTTGTTTGGAACCAGCCTTTCATGTCTTGTATGTCCCTACAGAGTTGCCTGTTTGCCTGTTAGCTAGCAGCTCCCTGGATGTACACTTGGCCAACACTGGCGCACAACATCTCTCCACAGCTGAGCATCCCAGACCCCACCATACTCCCGCATATCATGCGCCCACCTTTGATGTACAGACGCTTCCAGGCGCTCCCAAACAGGCATCGAGGGCCTTAATGCAGTCCCCAAGATCCGGTGCCCGCCACACTTTTCAAAGCACCAGAACAGGCAGGCCTGGCCAAATATTACTTGCCCAGCAGCATTGTGGACGCTGCTATCTCTGATGGCCAAAGTTCCTGCCTCCCGCTAGCCATCTCTCGTGACAATGCTGGGCAGGATGTAACTGAAAAGACGACGCTTGCAAACCGCTCGCTAGCAAGGGGACAGTCGTTAAATTCCAACGTTACGTTTGACTCAATGAACAAATCATGGACATTGCTTCTCTTGGGCAGAGTGGGAGCTGATGGCTGCATCCTTGCTTTGGTACAAGTTGTTTCATGAATGAACCACCCCACAACCAAGCCACTGGAATACCAGTGTTTCAGCATGAAGGCTGGGCGTGTAAGGTATTCCACTCAGTACTCTTGGTAGGCACAGGATGCAAAGGTTCCAACAGGATCCAAAGATGTGGCTGAGCCAGCGCCCATTCCTTGCAATGTGCTCTATCAGGCGTAGTTATATCCACACCTCCCAAACCCGTAGGCTCGTGTGCGGTCAGACACATGTGATCCAGTGAAAACGGCCAATTTAATTGAAAATTGAAGGACAATTCAGTTAACTCCTCCCTCGCCCAACATACCAACCAAAATCGCTCTAAGGGCCCCAGTCGTTTTCTAACTCTCCGAGACACCATAGAAGGACTGAACATGCTTGAGTGCACTCTGCTCCATCACAATTTTGTCCGCCTTCAGTACATCATAGACGTTGATCTGCCTGGTGGTGTTCATCATCAGCCAGGGCACGTTGCGACCCGATTTGGTGACGTTGTCATGCTTACCCAAAGTGAGCAATAAGCAGTACTTATCCTCTGGGACTCCTATCTGACGCAGTGACGACACTAGGGCTTTGGTCTTGCACTCCTGAAACTGTTCGGTCAGGTCTTCCGTCACAATGATGTCCCCAGCGTCAGCAGCACTTTGGAGTGCTGTGGCAAGGGCCAGCCGGCGTTCCTTTTCGTTCATCTTCACACTCCAGTCCCTGGGCTGCAGCATTGGCAAGGGCACAATCTTCAGAGCTTTGAAATCAGCATGCTAAAAGCAGAGATGGGCTGAAATGTCAACTACCAACAGAGATCTGCTGGCAGAAACGAGAATTGTGGGCATGTTACAGATAAACTTCCCAGTGTCAAATGCACCATAGTTATCCATTCCGCTTGGATTGGAAAGCTATTGCCACTTCACCTCCACTGTGAAGAAATAAACACAACATGGCCTTGAAACTCGAAACTGCTTGTTTTTAAGCACGCGATATCATTCTGCACAGCCAATCTTTTTGATGCAATGGCTATCAAAGACAGGAAATATCTACACTCAGCATCTTATCCCTGCAATGCACTAGAAGACATCTTCCACATCTTCCAAAGCAATGAATCGCCTTGAAGTAGAAGCACAATACAATGGACGCTGTGAGCTGCCAGTGAGTTTGGGTGGTCATGTTGTGATGGCAACATTGGATTCCCCCAACAATGTGGTGTGGTGAAACAAAGGCCATGCTTCCATAGAGCCATGACATCAGATGATACGCAAATTCCTGTGCAATGATATATCACATTATTGCCAGATAGCTCGGCAAGAGACCACCAGCCAAACTCGATGGATTCCATAACCTTGCCCAAAGGTCAATGGAATCATCAATGCATTTCTGAGCTTGAGAATCCCAACCATTCTGGGTCGTTTGGGGGAAAAGGCTGATCAGGCAAGGTGGGAAGAAGGCAAACCTAAACACCCGAGCCAAGCACACTGACAAGGTTGGGCATTCTAGGATTCGCCCTCAGCAGTTTGCTCAGTTGGCTGCAACTCTTGCTCCTCCAAGATGCCAACTTCAACGTGAAGAATCCCGGCGAAGGGGGGTTCGATCAGCCAACCAGAGACAGCACCATCTTCAACATCAAGAACGGCGAATGACACCTGAACCAGTGCTTGGCTTTCTGTAAATCTCCTCTTTGGGGAAGGAGGGGGGGGGGGGGAATACTCACTTTGGGACCAAACACAACACCGCCGCCCACGATCAACGGCGACCGCGAACTTCCCCTCCTTGCCCTGCCCGTCTTCTTCTGCGCATACGGCTTCCGCCCACCGCCCCTCACCTCGCCCCTGGTCTTTGTGCTCGCCGTGCCCTGCACACCGTTCCCCAGCCAGCGTCATACCACAAAAACAAACAGCGCACAACTGCGCCGCCGCCTTGCCCTTCGAACGCAAATCCCAAAGACTGAATTAGGCAACTGTGCGGCGCCCTCCGCCGCTCTGTCCAACATCATAACCCAGAATCATCACAACGCAACAAACACAAATGCCCTCGCATCTGCGCTTCCATCTGCGGCCTGTTCCCCACCCGGCTCCACGTCTATCCGCAGCGGCCAGCGCGAGCCGCCATTCGACTCCTGGCGCCACCTTATTGCCCCCCTGAGTGCATGTTTCCTGCCCTTAGCGTTGCTTGCAATGTTTGCACATCATTCCCCACCGGACACTCCACATCATCTTGCACAGCATAAAGCAGAGTCTCGAGCACAGTTGTTCAGGATTCTGTGCCCTCTCCGTGACTCCTTTCCCATTCTCCCTGCAACAAATCTTACCCTCCTCATGTCTCGCCGGACTTTCACCATGTACCGATGCACCAGCCCATTCGCAGTGTCCGGGTCCGCCACCTTTAGGCTCAGCTTCTCCATCCCCTTGGTGACGCCGTCTATCGACTTCAAGTCCAGGGTGGCCGGCTCGGCCACGTAGGACATGGTAATCACCGGCGCCGGCTGGCCGCGGCGATCAAAGTCGGCGCATTTCTGTGGCCGCGATGCCGACGGCGATCGCAGGGGGACCCCGCAGAAGGCCTTCAAGCCGATGGCCCTCCGGGCATGAAATGGGGAGGGGCGCATCGGAGGGGGAGGGGCGAGGACGGCGCGGCGTGAGGGCGGGTGCCCCGACGGCGGTCCTGGGAAGCGAGGTGGGCACGGGCGCCAGGCAACGGGTGTGGTGGGATGCACGTTACCTATCTGCGAAGGGGGGGCAGGCTTTTTTGGGAGGCAAAACCTATTAGGTTTCACCAGCACTTTAGGTTCTAATAGCGGGCTGTGTCTGCGCTGAAACGTGGAATGCTTAGGGAACGCGGCCAGGGGGGACTCCAGTTCGGACATTTTGTCCGGCAGAAAAAATAGGGTGTGTACCCCAGTTTGGACAACGTCGGGCACAAAAGCCGCAAAAAGCTGGCCCCAGTTTGCACACAAGGAGTTCGGTCAGGGAGCCCCTTGTGCCATGCGCTTCCCAATCGACTCCTTTGCGCATCAAGAGGCCTCTGAGCCACCAAGAGTTCCGTGCGGTGGAGTCCTCCAAGATATCTGGATATTCTGCTGTGCATCGTTGAGCGATACCCACATTCCTTGGCAGACGTTTGCACTGAACATCAGTCAGAGTACACCTTAAGGCTTCAATGACTGCAAAGCCTTCAGGTGTACTCGAGATATTCCCATTGACCATACAGGGCGGGCTTATACACTCATATCTCGTAGTGTACGAGAAGCGCTACTCTTATTTTCAGGCATTTCCGTTCGCGAAAGTTCACGCCATGCCGAACGACTCAGGGGCCCGACAAGATTTGCGAAAACAATGATTTCGACGAATTTCCCTGCAAATCGATGAAAATTGAATTTATATTGGATAAATTTTGGAAAATTTGAACAGAAAATGGCCCAGAGTCTGCGATATTCCTGACCCAGTAGGGTATGCCTATAGTGACCTCTTGTAGTAGCTTATGCAAAATATCGACTCCTTACTGGTGGACCCAATGTTTCTGGACCACTTTTTCTGGCGAAAAAGCGCTCCCTGCTGAAGACCGCGATATGTGATTCCAGGATACTTTCAGGATTTTTTCACAGTTGACAGTTCCAAAAAGCGATGCTCGCTGTGGCAAAACGCTGGTGGAAACGGCACCTAGTGCGATGAATATGGCCCCTCTTGTTCTGAGTCAACACAATTGCCCTGCCAGTGCGCAATCTTCAGTACATAGACAATTGTTAAAACGCGATGGAACTGTGCAAATTTCACATAATGGTCGTCAGTATGCATGCAGCGTCACTAATTGGAAGCTGTGTACAGTATGCATAATGCCTTATTTTCACCCGTCCCTAGATATTGCAATGCTGAGCCTATCGACGGCGCATGCGGTGGTGTCCTGCGCAAGACATGGTCTCTGGCCATCATCGGTGCGGTTATTCCCGCGCAATGAGGGCAAATGTCCGGGCGCGTCCAATCCGCGACTTCGCCATCACCGTTGATGAAGTACGTACATGCAACTTAGAGACGCTGCGTTCGAAGGGGCATCCCTGATGCCGCTGATAAAATCACGACCACCGACAGTCTATACTGGGGACTCATGCGAATTCTCAAATAGATTTAATTTCAATAAGTCGTTCAAACACTGGTAGAGTTTTTCACAATGGAGCTGAGCCCACAGCGGCGTGCACAGCGCGGGCTTGAAATCACCAACTGAATCGTCTGGGGGATCCCAACATCTCTCAGGAAACGGGTTGCTACTGAATGTGAGCTGGCAGGCTTGGTCTTTACATTTACGGCTCCATTTTGGACGTAACGTTTTTACGCGTAAAAATGCGTAAATAGGGAAATGGCCATTTTTACGGCCATATTTACGCATATTTACGGCGCATTGGCACGTGCAGATTGCGAGATGATGTCCCAATCAACGATCTGGCCTCCGCACCATCCAGCACTGCCAACACAGCGCCCGCCTCGCCCTCTGCAAGTGCAACGACGCCGTCGCAAAAAAGGACGTTTCTGAAGAACACTACTGAAAATTACAGCGCATCCATCTGCCACTGTCCGGATTCCCTGAGTCGGCGTGTACTGTCTTTATAGGATCCATTTTTACGCATTTCACGGGTATTTACACGTAAAAATGTAAAAACCATTTCTACGCGTAAACAGCCGTAAATAGGACTGTATTCACGCCGTAAACACCAAGCTTGTCAACTGGAATCTTGGGTTTGTTCGTCATCACCAGGTTCTCCGCAGCTGAGCATACTGAAGTGAGTGGCCATAATGAGTATACCGAGTGACTACGCAGTCTCTGCCTCGCTTGCAGCTCACTGGATGGGAATGGCGGCGCATCAAGAATTTTGTTGCTTCAACGGCATACTGTCTGATCAACTATTCCCAAACTTTCCTAAATCCTGATCTGATGGGGTGGATGCACAGCCAGTTCCTTTTCTGGCTAATCGGCTGCAACTGGTACGGAAATCTTCTGAAGGAACTTGTTCGCATGCTGCGAGGCAATTCGAGGCCGAAAAAACATTCAGGCTGGATTCCACTTGTGGAAACAGATTAAATTCTGTGCGTTCATGAATGCGGCATTCAAAGTGAGCAGTTTGGATCGCTTGCCGCCCCTGCAAAGCGGCGGCTGATTCAGCGCATTTGAGCTATCGGGAAAGTCTCTCTGCACTTGAGCTGCTAGTGGTTGTGTTTTGCCACGCGTAACGATTTTCTGGCGTGTGTTTATATCACAAGTACTCAAAATCGCCACTGGCATGCTCGAACGGCAGAGCCACAGTCTCCAAACTGACTCAGACGTCCAATCCCGGGGCATCCGGGAGAAGTCCAGGCGTCGTGTCGTCCCAAATTTCATAGTAGTGGACCCATCCTGTGGTGTTTCAGCATCCCTGGACTCATTCGCCGATCGCCGTAGGCGGCTGTGCAGGATCTGCGTCCACAGAATCGCCAAGTGTTTTGCACATCCCGCGACGTTCAGACACCTCCCTGTCGGCTCCCCTAACTTGTCTGTACCAAAGGCAGTGAAGATGACTTCCATGGCTAAGGTGGTGACCGGCAGCCGCGAATTTTGACCGGTCGTCTGAACCGACAGTATCGTAGGATCGCGCTGACCGTCTGTCCATTGGAAACTTGCAGGTATTGCAGCTCCAGCGCTATTTTCAGAGCTCCAAGAGCCTGACGCACTTGAAGGGACCGTAAGCAACTGATGAATTGAAATACCCATGATATACGCCTGTGTAGCATTCCATGTGCAACGATCATCGGAGTGTTTTCAGTTCGAAGAATAGCCTGGCGCAGGCAGACGTGTGATAATGGTCAGACTCGCAAACCATTGAGCAGTGATGGCTGAAATTCTTGTTCCGAGTAATCATCAATTTCATCCGAACACTGCATCTTTAAAATTTAACTTACAGTACGCAACTGCACAGCCTCGCGTGGCCATCCTAAATCGGCTAAAACTGGTCACGTATAGCTGTATGCTTGCTGAAAGAGTGCTAATGACACAACGCACAGATTCGAGTCCAGAACGCCGTAGCTCTTGAGTTTAAGGTTTCGAACAAATGAGAATTCGAAGGAAAGGGAACTACATAAATAATACATGCTCAAAGAAAAGCAAATCTACCACGATACGTTGTTCGCAGTATGAAATCCAAGTTGCGGTTGTCAGGTTATCTGGAGAGACTTTTCATTGCTTCGTGTTACACATGGTCACTCCTTCTTTTTGTTGTTGATGTAAACAATAGCTCCTTCTGCTTTCGAGCAGAAACCTAACAATAGAATAATCTCATCCCATTTTGCCACCAAGATACCTCTGCGAGAATTCACATTTGATAGACGCCCCCTCACCATCACTTTCCTAGCCCTGTAGGCCTATCCCATGCGAGACACTGACATCTGGATCGCTGACGTGGCACTCGATTTTCCTCCAAACGTAATTGCACATGCATCTGTTGGCCTTCCCGCTGCTTCACCTGCACCTGTCGACTGGTAGCTGCCAGCTGACGTGCCACGCGGTATTTTTCAATCTTTCCCTGTTTGCAGATCCGACAATATCTCGACAGTCGCTATTCCCATAGGCTTCGTCGCCATTGGAATGACAATGGGGGTGAGTCGCAAAAGTGATCGCGAACCGCCGTCGTTCACGCAGCGAACAGACATTCATCCTGTGACAAACGGTGCCTCGTCGCCGATAATTAATTTTGGGGCAAGGAATCATTTGCAGAGTGTGCCATGAAGCGATGTAGGGTAGATCACGGAGATCTCCGTACACTAGAATAGAGCCCCGTCCCCCCGGCCCGCGTTGAGCATCAGGACTGGCGTCAAGAACGCGAAGGCAGTATCGGGGGCGCACCCCCGCGCTGTCTAACGCGCCCCCGCGTTTCGCATCAAGTCGATGAATCACGGATGCCCCCGCGCCGCCAAGTCAATTGAGCACATTGAACAGAAGTCCAAATCGTGACGTCAATGGCAGCAAAAGTGGAAAGACTTCACCATAACATTTCTGCGACTTCCTGCAGTGCGCCACTGCATCTTTTGATAGCGAACGAGGATGTACCATCACGGCATACCCCCCGTGCTATCTAAATTTCCCCCCGCGGTGCCAAGGGCACCCCCGCAATCCAACAACCCCCCGTGCTATCCTTCGTGATCTACGGTAAATGAATGGTACAATAAAATGCGAACAGGGAGCTGCGCGCTCGGAAGTCACAGCGTGACCCGGCTGTGGTCCCTGGTTGGTTATGACGGTGCGCTTTGTGTCGTTGATGCAGATGATCGGGTTGGCGAATATGGCCCGAGGGGTGGGGCGGAAGGAATAGCATTTCAAAATGGTGTTGCGTGGCTCGGTTTTGGCACCAAAGCTGCACAGCAGGGCTGCCGGCCATTTGTAACGAACACATTGAAATGTATCTCTGAGATGAGGACGTTGGAAATGATTAAGCTGGGAAACAAAGCGCGGTGCAGATTTTGCATTCGCGCCCCTGACATTGCTGGCAGACGTTCGTGACCACTTGTGGTGGAGATGGACAGCGGAGCGCTCAGTTTTCCTTGTGGTCATTTTTGGGCACACTTGGCATAAGTTCCAAGCTGCCTACAACAAGCAGGCACAAGAGTGTGTGGTGAATACACCCACACAAGGCGCATTGAGAGGCACAGAACATCGAATATCGACAGCACGACATTCGCAAGCCAGCAACCTAGCAGTCAGCGACACTGCACTCCCGTGCGCGTTGCGGACGCTGACATCGCTAGGCTCCAAAATACTACGAAATCCGATTCGGCAAACCGTTCTACACCTGCTGGTGGTGCGAATGCCTTGAACAAAGCTCATCGCGGATGCCCCGTGCATACCATTTCCACCTGACGGGACTCCTGAACCCCCCCGGTCATGTTTCCCACAAAAGAAAACATTACAACAAAAGGTGTCCGTCACCATGAACTCCAAATACCTGAGTTCCCCGTACTTAACAGTTTCCCCTTTCACTTCACGCATGCTTCACGCCACTTTTCTCCCGTGACTCCGCCTTGAGTCAGCCCCCTAAACCCGTATTTCCCTTCACACCATCCCACTCTCTCCCACAACTCAACCAAACTCCACTGTCTAGGGCGGGAGGGCCGAGTGTGAAACAAGATAGGAGGGGGACCGAGGGGGGAGCCTAAATACCCACCCCCGCTCCGCCCCGCCAAAGTCCGCCAAAGCCCGCCAAGTCCAAGGGCGCCAAACTGATGGCGCCTTGGAAATTACGTACTTTGTCTGTCCCACGGTACTAGAGGGGTCAGACACCCGTTTGAATACAATTGCTGCCGATTTGAATCCTCGGCGCAGCCCACCCAACGTCGTCCTTGGTGGAAACATATTAACAAGATAGCTAATTGCATGAATACGGTGCAGCCAATAGCGTGCACTTGCAGTTTTCAGTGTACGCTGTGATCTGCTTTGTGTGGCACGATGCAAACTGGCTGCTGCCGCGCATAGCTTCAATCTGTCCGCCCGCGGTTACCGCTGAGAGTCAGAGTTGTCAGAACATCACGCGACAAAAGACAGCACGGCGGCGTCCAGCAAATGCGTCGGCGCGAGACCCCCTTGGCACTCTTCAATCGTGTTTGGACTGACCTCCTTGCTGGGAAAAGGCCACGCATCATGAAACGAGCGCTGTGGATGCCGTCGGGCCGGTCATCGCCCTGCAAGCCTCGCATTTACAAGAGTCGCAGTTGACTACAGAACTGCGCAGAACAGGGCGCACACCTTGTCTGCACGTTGTACAAGAAGTCCCCTCGCCGTGTGACACATAGCGAGTCAATACTACAGGGCCAAAACTGTGCTGTCCCCATTCCCCTCGCACAAAGTGAAATACTTGCCACCAGGCCGCACATAAACACCGTCGAGCCACCGGACCATGAGAAGGGCGGCACGAGCTGCCAGGGAACCCCTTCAAAACCCTGTACGCACTATAAATTGTACGACACCCAGAACGGCTCTCTCCGCGTGACCCACGCCGCCCTGGGCAGCTCCCGACTGTGCTGCTTGTCATATCGACCAAACAGGCATGCCACTGAGCATAAAATTGTGTTATCAGAACATCGCCACAGCGGGGGCGGCAACGCCCAAATCCCTAATCCCTAGTCGCAAAAGGAAAAGCCCCAGCAGTCCCAGAGACCTTGCACGCGTCGCCAGGGATTCTCGGACCTCTCCCCCAAGGTGCCGAACACAATTCCCCAAGCAGCACGCTCAACTTACGCCCTCATTATTGAGCCACAGCGGCCTTGGGTGAAACTCAAACTTCGACGTGGAAGGCTCCCTCGTCGTTGAAGGCATAGTTGACGGCGGCTTCTGTGTCCAAGCGGTCAACAAGGCTGACAAGGAATCCCGACAAAGCGCCACCGCCAATGGCGATCCCAAATGTCACGAGCAAGGCAAGCAGCTGGTGTCCGCACCCCGCCATATCGTCATCAACCATGAGAATCGCAGCGGCGGCCACTCCTCCCAGCAGCCCAGGCATCCCATGAAGGTTGTGCACCCCGCAAGTGTCCATAAGACCAATCGACTTTTCCAGAAGGGGAGAGACGTACTTGAAGCCAACGACACTGAGGATGCCAGCTACTATGCCAATGGCCAGGGCACCTCCTGGGCCCGCACCAACCAAGTCTGCGCTCGAGCCAATCGCAACACCACCTGCGAGTGTGGCGTTCTGAACGTGGACCATGTTGAACTTGCCGTCCACAATGGCTGACATCAAGAAGGTCACCATGCAGGCACCGGTGAGGGAAACGACCGTATTGATGACGGCAGTGAAACGACCATCCGGCGGCAGAGCAATGGCTGCGTTGAAGCTCGGCCAGAAGATCCACAGGAAGATTGTGCCAATCATAGAGGTCACATCGGATGTGTAATTGCTCTTGTTTTGGGCGTGTGTGGAGCCAGTGCCCTTCTTCGAGAGGAAGAGGGTTGCTGCCAAACCGAAGTAGGCACCAAACGTGTGGATTGCCATGCTGCCACCAACGTCCCTAGCTGTGAACGCCTTCCCAATCAGGTAGTAGTCGTTCACTGTAAAGCAGACAAAGGGCTTTCCTGTCAAATCAACTGCTGCATTCATACCAAAACCTTTCTGACTCTTGGCCTGTTTTCTGATGATAGCAGAGGCTGCAGGACAGCAAATTCTCCAGCAACTTTGTACCAGCCAATCAAGCAACTGCGTTTGATTCCATCTACAGCACATTCAACGATCGGCCCATGAGCTGAATGCACGAGGTCTGCAAACATGTTGAATCCCCCCAAGCAACAAGACAGCAGCAATCCAGCTAGTTGGTTGATGCAGCAATTGTTCTGTTGCAACAGATGTCCAAATGAATGGCCCATGTGCCATTGTGTATGAGCCAATCATTCCCTGAGTTTACAGCAACATCATGTTTCGTTTGGTCACCCCAAATAGGAATCTATGAATGTGGAAACAATTGCAATGATGGCAGCAGGCTGGCCACTGTGCCATGGCATACACACCAATCATCCAGCTCTACCACAGTGCATAGGGTGACCCTAATAGGAATCTGCGAATGCGGTCAAATTTCTGGCACCTGCATAGAATGGCACCTCCAGCACCATCAGCAGAAGCAGCTGCGAAGGGGACACCTTGCCCAGCACCGCCCCAAAGGTGATCATGCCAGCACCAGCTGCGAACAGGCCCTCGATGAGAAGCGGAATGTCCAAGCTCACTGTGAACCTGCTGCCTGGGTCATGGTTGTCCATGTAGTAGAACGCTCCCACCAAGAACACGGCCTCCAGGGTGACGACACAGGAGGCCAGAAAGTTGAGGCTGACGGCCCCCAGGCTGTAGCGGTGGAGGAAGGTCATCAGGAACCCGAAGCCAACCCATATCATGATCGCCACATGGATGTACCACATGTAGTACGAGTCCACATCCTTGTCGTCCGAATACCGCACGAACAGGAGGAACAGGACCAGGAGGACGGCGATGCACGTGCCGGCGACCGCACTGAAGACAATCTTGAGCGGCTTGGGGGCAGGGGTGTTGGAAGTCCCCAGGAGGGGGGCAGCTGCCCCGCCCGCCATCGTGTGTCAAACGGCCTACCGGAAGCAAACAAAAAGGGGGCGTGAATTGACAGAAGCAACATATTGCTACGGACGGGTGCCGCAATGACAGTAGCGATTAACACCAATTCAAGCGCCACCCTGACACAAGGATTCGAGGAAGAAAGGCCTTGGTCGCGGGTGGCCGCTGGTTCCAACAATAGTTGCTGCGTCCGATGAACAGAATTACGCTTCGAAGGGCGGCGGAGGAGGCTCTGTGTCCGAGACCTCGGTAGCAGGCCCCATTTCCCTTGCAACCACGTAAGTTGTGCCTGGCGCTGACGACACAGCCGCAGGTTGAAGCGGCCACGCAATTCGTTCACCATCAGCCACGCCGAGTGCCCGCCAAGGGCCACCAGGGCCACGCACTTCCCCGGTTCTCCCCCTTGTACCCACCGGACATTCCGTACTCTTCACCAGAGCAGTGCCGTGGCCAGCACGGCAATGCGACATCTTCTGGGCCCCCCGAACCAAGACATCGAGACACCGAAGAGAAGAGACCGCTGAACAGCGGCACCCCGCTTTTGAGCGTCGCCCAATCGTGAGACGCACAGCGCGCGGCTCGGGCCACCCGCAACCATATTGCGAAACGCCTGCGACAGCTCGATGGCGACTGAAACGCTTCCGCACATAGCTTAACGGCCCTCCCTTCTCCCTCCCCCCCCCCCTTCTATCGGAGGCTCTATGTCACCTTTCCACAACATGCCAAAGTGTCTCGCGTCCATTTGCTTAGGAGGGGGTGCCCTTCGTACGGCCTGTTTCTTTTCTCTTTTTGCAACAAATCTTATATCCTGCCACCACCCCTCGTCTGGCGCCGCTCAGCGTGGCCCCTTCCGTCAGGCACTCTGCCACCGCCGGGCATTCTGTCCGACTTCGCTCCCACAAAGGTCCCCCGCTGCGGACCGACGCAAGCCGGCAGCGATGGCTGGCAGGAGGCCGGCGAAAAACTGCAAGCGTCAACTCGGGCCCGAGGGGCCACGGGGAGGGCGCAGCAAAATGGCACCGAGCGCGCAGTCGCCTCAAAGAATTCGCGGAGCGGTGGAGGCCAGGAGAGGGGGGATCAGGAAAAGGATGATATCCCACGCGGCGGAGGGTGCGGGCGGAGGCCATCGGCAAAGGCGAAGGCTGGACGCGCTATATGGAATGCGCTCTGCCGGAGGCACACGGACGACGAGTGGCTGATGAAGGCACCGGAACGGCCCGGAAAAGACAGGGGGAGCGCCGGCACGCCATTCGAAGGCACTGTCAACGCAAGCGCGAGCCCGCGCACGTGTCGGCGGGCACTTTGGCTGATGCTGGCACCACCGGATCGGGGCATTGCGGGGTGAAGAAATCCGGGGAGCAAAAGAGAGCCTTGGCGTCAAGCCCCACCTACTTCGGAGCGCGGCTGGTCGTCGGGGATTGGCGCGGGTGCCTGCGGTGCGCAGCAGCCAGCGACGGCCCTGTGAGCCGGCCTGAAGGGGACAGGTGCGCAAGAGGGACGGCGGCAAGTGCCCCTCCCACCGGCAGGGGGACCTGCCTCGCCCTCGATGAAGCGGCCAGCGCTGATGTGTACTGCCGTAATTGATGACGTCCAGCGACCGTCTCATCACGTTCGGGCGCTTATTTACCACCGGGCTACGACACAACCGCTGCTGGACGGGGTTCCGGAAATGCTACCCAAAAAGGAAAGGATGGTCCGTCTTACGCTGCATTCATTTAGTGATGGCCGCATTGGCAGATCTGTGACTCCGTACTTGCCGTGGGGCGCCGTCGGTGTGACCACCTGCCAGCAGTCGGCGGCCACTGTGTACTGCAAACGCCGCCGCCGACATCCTCTGTGTCGGCCCAAGAGGTCAATAAGCGCCGCGAAGCGATCGGACGGTCGCTCAGCCTTGGTGAATGACCGCAGTTCGCGGTGCCCAATCACACAGTGTCCTTTGAGGTAGGGCCACGCATCTGCCAGCCTGACTTTGCGCCACTCCCGAGAGCGTGCACAAAGTTGTCAGCGGGATCGTCCCCGTGAGTACCACGACCCAGGCGCCCCTGCGCTAATACAAGCAAATAGAGCCAGGCCCATTTCGAGCACAGCAGAGGCCAGACTCTGGCCTCTGTCCGCCGGAAGCCCGAACCCTCGCCGTGCCAACAACTGAGAGCGACATCGGTCAATCTAAGCGTCATCCAAGGAGTGCTTGGCCCACCCCGCATCCCCCCCCTTGGCCCGCACTTTGCTCACATGCATCATACCTTTGAACAGAAATAAAACAAAAGAAAATTCTCCAGGCATGACCCTGCCCCCTAGAATTGTGGAATTTGTACAGCGGTGCTTTGAAAGAGGCCCGTTTCAAAGCACCATTGTACAAATTCCACTAACGTACCTAGGTACATTACCGCGTTCATGGGGCATCACCAAGCTTTGTACCAGCAGCTGACGAATCACAGTCTGGAGAGGTATTCTGGGACCTTCTGCCGAAGAGATTGCCACGTTGCTGGGGACTTTCAGCGGTGCTTTGGATCTGGCGTACGCTGCAGGAAATTTCCCTTTGACCTGCTCGAGTTTGTGCAACACAATGTGTCATGCGGTTGGGCATTGCTCGCTGGAAGAGTTGATGCTGGGTGCCAGCTAATCGTGAGCCTTGGACGCATTTTTACGTTAAAGCCACGGCCAGGGGCGACGCTGCAACCATTTCGCCAAGCTCAGCATTGTATTTGCTTGAGCTCAGGTCCACCCTCTCCTCTTAGAGTCGGTGCTTTCGGCCATGCCATACTACAATCCTCATTCTTGGATGGCCATGGGCCGGAAACCCAATGGTGCACCCCATCGCTCACGAATTCCAGACTATAAAACTTCTACCCTAGAAGTTCTAGGCATTCCCAACTGTGGACCGGGATCAAAGGATTGTATAGAATTAGGATCAAAGGATGGTATGCGGATCGATCAGGCTTTGCAGCCATTGTCTTGATTGTTGGCAGCCATTATTTGACAACATGAGCGAGTTGCTTTCGTCATCTCTGGACGCCGTTTGCAGGTTGAACGCTCGCGGGAGAGTTTTGGACAGCTCATTGCGGTTCCGTCACTGTCTTGGCTCATGGTGATTGGATGGCTTGCGTATTCCACTGCACAAAATTTGTTGCCAAGGCTGACACACCCTCCCCACTGCCACCCTCTGCGTTTGGGCACAAACTGCATCTTGAAGCAAATTTGCGTTTCCGCTCTAAAAACATGAACGTACTCTGAACATTTTCATTCGTTTTGGAGCGAATCGCACCACAGAAAACGATGGCTTTTTGAAAATCCAAGCGGAAGACAACCGCTCGCAATTGGGCTCTTGTTTAAGGACTGGACAAATGAACTGGCTCTATCAAGTACCGACGTTATCCAACGAAAAAAAAACATAACAACACTCCTTGAGCTATTGTCTGCCATCAAAGAACAAATTTGCAAGAGCAAGGAAAGAACAAATACAAATGTGCAAGAGTAAGGAAAGAAATATTTTGTAAAGGAGGAAATAGACAAGCTGAGACAAAGTAACAGAACAGTTCGGAATTAAGCCAATATGTCAAGGCTGCAAGATGACCTGTTGTGTTCATCCGACATGTCTGCGTGCGCTTTCCACGCCACGCGCTTTCTGGGAACATCGTACCAGTGACCTGAGAGTCTGATGGTGCTTCAACATGGAGATCGTAATAGCGATGAGAAGCCTGACTGTGTAATGGATTGCCATAAGGGCCCATCGTTGATTGTCCCACCGTTCTCTACGTTCCCGTGCAAGCCTGTATCATGTGGATTTGTTTCTCGACCTGCTGGGGAGCCAGGCTTGGTTGCCGAATCTATTGGAACATTTTTGACCAGAGTTGATGCAACAACCCCTGGTATTCTTTGAAACGACATCGTGGTGCTGGGCATCTGTATGAGGATAAGCTTGAGCATGCAAGTTATTGTGGAAACAGTGACGAGAAGTATATTTGATGCTGAGGTGGATGATATCTGACGCTACAATAGGTCTTCATTAACTTTGTGAGTTTAGTCGTTTCGGATGGTTTGGATGATGCTTCACTGAGAGTGCATCCTTTTGAAGGACAGCAGGTACTGTTAGTCAGCGATCGTGTGGTGATGGAGATGCGATCAAGTAAGTAAACTGCAAGTTTGAGCGTGGTTGGCGGCAGCTCTGCGATGGTGGAATGGCGCGCTGTGTTATTATGAATTACGGCAGATACCGGTTTTCAAGCCGATGGCAACCTGTGTTTTTTAAAGAGAACTTGAGAACCTTGAGAGAGCCAACTTGAGAACTTGTCTGCCTGGAGCTTCAACAAGGCTGCCTTGAAACGAATCTCTTTCGTGGAGCACCATGAGGCGTTCCACTTTTTTGGAATGACTGCAAGCTGCAACAATTGGAAGTGCTATTGGCTTGTTCCGTGTCGGGTTCAGTACTCCGACCATGAAGCTAAAGCCTGAATCGCAACTTGTTGGGCTCGGCGTGGAGTCCGGGTCGGCAATTCGCCCTTTGCCTCGCGAAACACGGTGTCTCCTTCACCTTTGAACCGAAGTTTGGCTCCTACATAGGATCTCTGTCCAGTATACTCTGCAGAACTCGGTCTCTCTTCGTTCTGGTGGTGTAGCGCGCCCCGCATGTGGGAAGTAAACGGTGCATACTCGATTCCATGATGATTCGTCCGACTTGATAATTTGCATCTCCATCATTTTCCGAACATTGAAGTGATCCCATTGTGACCAGCATTGTGTGAAATTTTTCAGCATTAAATGCTGCATTTGCTGTTGGAATCTCTGAGTCAACAGACTTCGCTCCACAAAGTGTCAGAACATGTAAATCACGTATCCACCAAACAGTCTGCGGAATTTAATGAATAAATTACAGTTTCCATATCCGAACCAATCAATTTGCAAAAAATATCCATTGAGCGCATTGGAGACGCCTTTCAGAGAGTCCATGCCATCTAGAATTTAAGTTCGTTTGACGGTATGTGACTGGAAGTTGGCGTTGGCTCCCCGGAAACGTATGCGTCTCGCAGACGTCTGCATTTCACACACAAAAATGCCTTCCGAAGGCTCTTGTACTGCACACGTTCATTTTCAAGCCATCAACTCCCTATTTTGATGCGAGCGCAAAATTTATGAAGCTGTGATTTTCTGAGATTGCGATGCTTTCTTAAGAATGGGATCTGCGTCGATCGAAGTACTGTCAGTGTCAATCGAACGCAAATACGTATGAGGCTAAGACCTGACGGGATTTCCCAAGAACCGATACATGCCTCGGACGTACCCGAGAAGCAGTTGACCCATCAAAACCGTGGGCAAATCATGCAAAGGCTACTCCAATGGACAAGGGAGATCTGGCATGACCGTGATGACAATTATTGCCAGGATTCCCGCCTCCCCAAACTGGGCATCGTATCCCATATACTGGTAGTATATCAAAGCCAGTGCTGGGGCGGCAAGCATGAGGAGGCGTCCATCAGCGGCTTGGAGATTATGTGACCCATGGACAATGGTGATCGTCCACGGGGACATATGGCGGTTATGGGTGGTTGGTTCCAATCGAGACACTGTTGGTTTTAATGCTAAATGAGAAATGACTGAAGCTGCAATTGCTGCTTGAATCATTTTTCGAGGAGACATGACGAGTCATCGCTCCCTTGACTTGAAGGCGGTGTCGCCGCCAACTCGATACACAGTACTTGTTCATGTCAAATTGCCTGTTCATGTCAGTCCACCTCAATGCTGCGTATATAATGATCAGGCACTTTGATGCATCCCATGCAGTATCAACGATCAGTTCTCCTTGAGAGGTTTGGAACAGATGCACAAAAACGAAATGGCAGCGGGCGGGTGCGCGCCATGCACATACTTTGTGCCTGCAGCATTGTAATGCTGTTGTGAAGTGCGCCTGCAGCACCCACAGTACCGCAACTGTAATTGCAATACTGTTACACGCCAGTGTTACTGCAATGAACAATGGGGCGTGGCCGCGAGAGTGCATGATCTTTGCGCGGGGCAGAAGATTCCAAAGGAACGGTCGTCTACTGCCAGAGCGATTCACTGCATTGGCGAGGTCAACTGTAAGGCCATCGCAATGACTCTCTCAGCATGAATTACTGTCCAAAATGCTGTGATAGATGTCATTTACAAATGGTTTACTTTTACAACAGTAGCCTGCTGGGGATATTGTCTCCAGGGCAAGATGGGGCCTGATGCTGCACTGGGTGGTCGATGGTGGGGCCTTGGCAGTGGCAGCGCAAACACGGCAAACCTTTTGGTGCGCAAGGAAGCCCATGGGCACGTGGCCACGTACCGAGGCAGCTCCTGCAGCGGCGTCGCCACAAGCTTTTTGTCACAAAACAGCTAATATCTGTGCAGCGTCGCGGCTCACCACAGAGATTCACGCCGGTGAGAAGTGCCCTCTGCAAAGCGAGAGATTGACTCCGAGTTTGGAGAAATCACCGCAGTCTTTTCCTCAAAACAATTCCAGAAACTACCGACTGTTTTTTAAATCCCCAATTCCACGCACAAAAGAATGGCAAGACGACCAGCACAATCTGGTAGAAAGTGAGGATGGGAACTTCCCATCTTGTAGCTTCAGCATGAAGCTTGCGGCTTCAAGCTGCAAGGAGGCACAAAAGCAATTTGCAGTCGTCCATTGCCCACACACAGAGCGCCCTCTGCCCCGCTATGATAGTATAGAGTTGCCGTTGCGCCTGATCCCCGCCGTCTCACGTGCGCCGCTATGTGGGACGCCGCCCGCACGTGCGCTCACCCACGTCGATTAGCGGAGCGGCTTTCGACATCGCCCTGCAACAATTCCGGTCGCCAACACATCAGCGCCGACCGCGGTGGCCAGCGGCGGCGTGCCATGCTGCTCTTCGCGGCGCTGGCGGTGCGGGCGGCGGTGGGCAACGAGCTCGCGGAAGGCGGGGAGGGCGCCCCACGCGACCACGGCAGCTGGACGTGCGTTCCGGCGCCAATTTCCCAGTCTCACTGACAAGTCGGAATCCATTTTACCTTTCCCCGCGGGCGGCGAATGGCTCACGACGAACCAGGGTGCGGTGCAGGCCGGTGGAGGAGAAGATATTTCAGGCGGCCCTGGCGGTGCACCGAGACCACCCGCGCAAGTAGGGCAAATTACTGATGTACTGTGTGAGCGGATGGCCAAGCCGGACGGCGCGCTCGGGTATCGGACGGCTGGCACGGAGGCCTGGAAGCGGTCGCGCTGCGCGGTCGCTTGCGGCGGCGACGATTTCCACGGGAGCGTCGTGGGGCCACGGCGGTCGTCTGTGTCTTGTAAACCTAAAGCCTGCGGTCCTGGGAAACTGACCGGTGGATGCCTCCCACTGCTCGCGACACCGCGATCGTAACCCAATGGTGGAGGCTCGATCCATCGCCACGAGCCCACGCCGACTGGGCCGTTCGCTGCCGCTCAGACAGTGTCCGACGGACGCTGGACGTCGCCTCCGACGATCTGCGCCAACCGTTGTACATTCGATCTGCCGCAGGTGGCAGGAAATCGCGAGGCTGCTCCCATTCAAGGATGCCGCGGCTTGCGAGCTCCACGGCAGAGAGCTCCAGGTGAGATAGACGCCGCCGCTGTGAGGGACGGGGGACCATCCGCCGCGCACACCATCCAAGGTGTTGCTGCGAACCGTGAAACGGGCTTCTTTCCCACAGTTCCGTCGCATGGTCATCCACGGCCCCTTGAGGGGCACCGGCTGTTACAGAGCTCCCGCGAACGCCCAAGAGGGCTGCAGTCTTCTCGAGGGCCGGCGTGGCCGCCTGGCCCCGTTAACGTTGGTGGTGCCTTTGTCACCGATGCGGGGTTGGGAGCTTTGGGTGTTTTCTGAGTGGTGGAATGCAGGCCGCGGCACCTCGGGGCTTGTTGTGTGGTGGGGCTGGGTCGTCGAGCAGCTCCTGGTTCGGAGCCTTTGCTGGGGGCCCCCGATCCAGCGTGGGAGCCCCCCAATGGAGCGTCAGTCCGACGCACCACGTGAGCGCACGCAGCGCCTGACTGTGCTCCCCGCGCCAAAGGCCAGGCTCTCTGCGATTGTATCCCCGCCGTCGCACTTCACTAGCAAAAACAGGATCAAATAACACTTTTGTGAACACACATAAAACACAGTTCATCAAAGCCCTGCACGCTAAGAACACAAAAATAACCCAAACCCGTAAACTTTGAACACGTGTTATTTGGCCCTTTGCTTCCTAGTGCTTGCCGTGCCTGCCGACCAATTCTACACAAGCCAAGTTGGATGTGGTGAGCCGCAGGGGCGCCTTTGTTGACGCTTTAGGACGGACATTTAGTCACATGTCCGCCCACCTGCCAGCAACCTCATCATCTCTGCTGTCCTGACTATTGCATATTGCACGGCTGAAAATAGCTTCATATATTGTCTCATGTCCGCTTCTGCTTCATATCAACCAACAACATTGCTTACCTGTGTTGATGTTGAAAAGTTACGTGCTCCTCCATTCCATCTCAGCAACATTGTTGCCACAATTGCATGACACATCTCCCTTCTGGTGTGTAATGTTTAGTGGCCCTAACTATTTAACACGTTTGCTGCGATTGCACAATCTGCTGTATGTGGATATATCACATAGTATATGACATCCACCATACAGCTGGTCAATTTCTGTGTTGAAAAGCAAGGAGGACTGCTGAGACGCGATCAATCAGAACAAAACTGTGCTAAACGGGAGAATTTTGCAGGTGCATAAGGATTCCATATTATATGCGAAATTAAGCAGTATTCTGGTTCTCTGGCCTGTTCGAGGTTGCTATGGACGGCACCCCGGGTCCACACTTACCTGAAAGTGAACCTACTTGGCCTTTTCATGTGCAATATGCGCGCATACGGAACTAAGGTGGTGGGGACCATATTGAGGGCTTTTTGATGATCGAGAGAAGCGAAGAAGGCGCGAATGTAGTTTGCGTTCAATTTCAAACACGCATGATTGTGCACAGAGTCTTGTTCGTGTCCGGTATGGTCGCCATTCTTCGCGGGGATGACACAGCTACCTCCCAGCACTACAGCAGAGTACTGACTGTGTGGGTGGGGCTCAAGGAAGAGGCGCATTGCACACTGGGTAAACAAGAGATATGCATAATATGAGCAGCCGCATTTTATCTGGTAGCTATGCGTAAGAATGAAAACCCAAGACGCTGCTGTACACGCAATAAGAAGCCGTCCGGTGAGCCAAGCAGAGATCCGTTGCGGATGAGATGAGTACTGATTGGTAATGCTTATGTTGGAACTGGCTTGGCGTCAATTTGAAGCTCAGTTCAGATGGTTCTGGCTCCAGATTGAGGAAAGTGTACTGATTCTTCCAGGTGAGGCATTGCCAAATGCATTGCTTCTGAGCAAGAGGAGAGTGCGTTGCTTACGCTGATGTCGTTTTCAACAATTCCATGGTGAAACATGGGACTATTTGAGAACTACTTTGCTGGCAACTTTTCTTGTAACTTTGTGGCAGTGTCCTGCTGGACACACAATGTCCAGATGACTTCCATGCTCTGCAGCAGAGTACAATAAGCAGCTTATTGTATGTGACAAAAAGGCGCAGATACTGTAATCCCCAGATATATTTGCACGTCCTGGATTTCTAGAACACAAGCACGTCGATATGGCATTAGCTTGCATACAGCATACTATCGCATGATAACGTGCATCTGCAGGCCATATCCTGGTAGTGCATATCCAGAATGTGGCGCCCATATCATTATCGATACCGAGATTATGGGGAATGACATGAGCCCCTCATACGGTAACAGATATCCAAGATATGTGAGTTCTCTCGAAGATCTCGCACATTAGCTGCAATGATAGGCGCATTGGCATACAATGCGGTTTCTCTCGCTCTTGTTGCAATTTTAAGTCCACAAGCCGGCTGACTGCAACCACCGCCCCAAAGCAGAATCGCAACGTGAAAGAACAGAGCAGCAGCCTGAGAACGAACACCAGAGAGCAGGGCTTGGTCGGATAAACCAAACCTCAAGTGCAAGCACCCAGGAAATGGGAGGAATCGAAATGGTTTCTCCAAAGCACTCCCGCCGTGCCCTGCCAGCCATGCAGATGGAAGGAAAATAGAACACGGAACCAAATGAATGACAACCAAATTTGCTGCCATGCTCAAAGATAGTTAGTTGACTCTCTATATTGCGACCATTTTTCCTTTTGCTTATCGATTTTAATGTCATCGGAAAACACCGTCAGTTTGCTATGTTTTTACTCGCGCACCGACAGCGTTCGGGGACCGGCAAGGCGCGAATTGCATGCTAATTAGCACATTAAGCCGTGTTTCAGGGGGATCAAATCATGCAATGATAACACCACATTTTGATTCACCGCAATCAATGATAGCGAGACTGACTCTTTACAGAGAGCAGGCTTGATCTTAACGGCTCGCCATTGCCATGGGCACGTATAATCACACGTTTCCTTGGCTGCACCATACTTACGGCGCCAAGTGGACGCACTGGCGCATTGCATCACGCTGTGTCCCAAGCACATCGGGCAGTCTCTGCCCCAGAACCTGGGGAGCGGCAGCCGGACGTGCTCGAGTGGATGGCGGACGACCGCTTGCACGACACGGTCGGCGCCAGCGTCAGGGACGAGGAGGATGCGGTGTTGGGAGTAACACGGTGCGGGGCTCGATCAGTGGACGGACAGAGAACTGGCGACAGTGGTGCTGTGTGCGTAGCCATGGGCGTCCGCCTGACTGCACCTTGCTTTGTAGTGGCACGCGCGCCCACCTTGTAGCCGTTGGGATCAAGCCTGATAGAATCAGCAGTTAAAATCGGGGATTGGCACGAAGGGCAGGATTCGTATTGCTGGAGCCCGTGCCCGCATGCATGGGACTAAATAATCACTGACTCAGGATATAGGATCAATGGGATCAATTCTGTTCTGCCGACAGCGAAGTCGTTCACGTGATAGCAACGATGCCCACAAATCGCGACGTCTTTGTTTCATGTGACGCGAGGCGCCTGCGACAAGTGCGCATACTGCCATCGTGGAAGCCCACTCGGGAACTCCTCTGGCCCTGCTGTTCAGAAAACTGCAAGCACCTCTCTTTCGTGGTGCGCACGTCCTTGTTACCCAGCGCGTGTAGTGTTTCTCTGTACGTGGGTTCCATGTGCACGACGAACGCCAGTGCCCTGATCAGGGCACTCGCTGCCTGCCACGACGCCAGCAGAGCAGCTCAGTGCAGGATTCCATCCACAGCCGCAGTGCCTTTACTGCCCGAAGCAGGCCCACCACATGTATCAGAACGCCTTGATACGAGCGTGCGCATCCGTCGCCGCAGCCGTTAGCCTGTGGACCCATAGCTGGGGCCTGGACCTGCAAGCACCATTCGTTTTCCCGGTTGCGGAGCGAGATGCCCACATCCCGCAAGAGCTCTGGCTTCCTAGCACAGGTTCGTTACCTTCAGAAGTGTCTGCGCTGCATGCACGGCGTACGCGGCCTCTGGTGATTCGGACTTGAATCTGTCTACACCGCTTCGGTTGCCGGATCCAGCATTTTGAGCGTTGAAGATGACTTGATCTAGCATTTTGAATGTTGGCCATGCGATGGCCTCTGGGCAAGGGCGATCTCACCATCGCTTTCGTATCTGCCGCAGGTGTCACGACGTCGCGAGGGCTCCGCCGGGTAGGTATGCCCGTGTCGCAGCCCACCACGGCGCACTGGGCCTGTTGCGGAGATCTGCACTTCGTGCTCCTCAGGTACTAAGATGGGCAGCTGACCTGCCCCTCACCTCCTGGTGGGCATTTTGCTGTCACGGCGCGGAACTCAGCGATTCCGGACAGCGGTCTACAGAAGTTGCGCTCAAGCTGCAGTCAGGACTGCGTCCCCGGTGCTGTGCTGTTGTCAAGGCAACCCTGACGTGCGAGGCGGAGGTGTTACGAGTTTCGCGGCGGGCATGCGCTGTGGAGGCGCCCTGGACTGTCCATTATGTTCGCTACAGTGAGGAGCGACGCTTTCGTTTCAATGCATACCGTAGGCATACGCCTTCAAAATGTCCTGTATGCATACGGTTCGTGCCAGTGCTTGCGTCTGCTGGGTAGCGCCCACGCTGGTCGCCATAAATAGGCAAAGTTGCTTCAGTGAGCTTGCTGTCAACATGTTGTAGCGTGCCAGTCCGTTTAGCGGTAACCTTGCAGCTCTCCCGTTGGCGTGGCAGCCTGGTACTTGGGGTTACTCTGGTGCAAGTTTGAGCAGAGTGCTGCAGACATGAGTTGTGCGCCAAGCGAATCAGTGGCCATGGGTCGGCGTCAGGGGACAGTGAGGGAGGCGGAGACTGTGTTGACGCCTTCTCGGAAGCTTCGGCGTCGAAGTCAGCAGTTTGCCCGAAACTCGAAGAAATAGGTCAACAACATTTCGGGAGTCAAGATAATGAAAAAGGCCGAAGAGCATGGGGAAAGTTGCATCAAAGTTCTGCCCGTCGCCAACAGTGCCAAACTTGCAAAACTTTTAATTTCTGTGTAGTGACATTGCTCCAACTTTCCTGCACAGAAGTCATGCCTGTTGAGGCCGTAGTTGATGCTTGAGGGCTTGGAGTCTATTACAACACTGGGCCTTATCGGTTCACAACGCCGCACCTATCATCATCCCTGTGCTGAAGCAAGTGTAGATGATTTTAACCTGTTGAGTGGTCACATTCGCAGGAAGTAAGGTTTGTGTAGATGTTCACCTGTGCAGGTGTTTTGCCTTGATTGGCTCTGCATGTGAAGCTAATTGACCCCCACATGCAGGATACCTTTGGCCCGTAAGTTAGACGCGTTTGAAAATATATGCATCGACAAATCACTATCTTTGAATTTTCCGTTGCGACTCAAAAACACTGCAGTGCTTTCAACAGTTGTTGAGACCATTCAAAGACCACGATATAAGGGGATGCAGAATGAGCTGCAGGGAAAGCACCAATGGAGCCCAACTGCGATAATGTATCTGTTCGCTTACGGCTAGTGGGAAAATTGTCAACAACATGATAAATGCAGCAAAGCAAACCCTCGCACTTTGATGTGCTCATCCATGTCAGAACGAGGCCAATCTGAAAGACGGCAATGCAATTGATCAGAGGTTTCGATTCACAGGCAATCCATCCAGCCAACGCACATCATTTTGTGGAATTTAAGCGCAGAGAAATGTTGCCCGTGAAAAAAATAACCCCAGAAAAGCAGGGCGTTGGATTGCGCACAAGTCTGAAAAGTTACAATGCGTCCAGTTGAATCCAGCATTGTCCACCGTCATGTCCGTCACACACAACTTCGACTTTCACGTGTCTTTTTTCCAGCTCATGATTGATCACTATCATGTGGCGACTTCATTTGTTGGCTTTGTGTCCAATTACAAGTCAGTGATGTTGTTAAATTGTAGTTAATGAGGAGGAAGGCGCTTGCATCCTTGCATTCATTTCAATGATCTCTTGTTTTCCAGTATTAGTGGCCCATACTTGATAGCAAATTAAGCTGTACAGTGTGTTTCAGGTCCTTAGATTGCAACATTTACGATTTTCAGTATGTGAAATGCTTATTTAGAAAGGCCTCGTATGACTATCCTGTGTTCCCTGTGTGGCAGGTGAGTCACGCCTTGTTGCTTGCAGTTTTAGCAAGCTCCCAACCTAGAGCCCAAAGATCAGGGCTCCACCAAAAACAAGACACCCCACTGAAAATGCACACATTGTGCTTCTAATGAGCAAGCACTTCAGAAGGTTGAATCACCAGGCTGCCCAATCGCAGCACCCTCCTGATGACCCTGACGACCCTGACGACGTCTCTCGGATTCAGCTTGCTGCAAAACGGTGTCACGATTCCTAAGATCGCAGTTAAATCCCTATGTCCTCAAGGGGTTCAACCTCACAAGCCATCCACTTTTTCATCTCAACACTCACACTGGCCAAGATTTCCCTCTCAAACAAATAAATTCTGAGCTGGAAAGGGGCCAGAAAATCAGAGAACAACAGTGCCAATTCGATGGCAGTGAGGGAACCAACAATCTGCCGTGAATTCCAAAGAACCCACAAAAATGCTCTCTCCAGCTTCTGCTCTGCAGGTGAAGACTCCTTTGGTTCACTGTAGTTCCCTCCTCAGCACCAAGAGGTCATCAGGGTACTCCACAACCTCCAAGATGTTGCAGTTGTCGATGAGTCTCCTTGGCACCTTCTTCACTTATCTTTCTTGCTCACCAAATATTCTTGCACAGGAGTAGTCACTTCAACTTCAACTTCCTCCTCAGCCTCTTCTTCAGAACGTCTTCTTCTTAGCACTCTTGGAAGTTGTCTCTTGCTGCCTTCTTATGTTTGTTCGCTTGCTGAAAAATCACTCTCTTTGCAGCTATAACTTCGACGAATTGTCTCCAGTTGTCTATGATTTTCTTGATGTCTTCTTGATTCAAAGGAGTCCTCTAAAGGAATCCTCAGGCCTCCCTTTCACAAGCGATCTAGGTAGGGTAGCAAGAACTTGCTTCACAAGTGGTGTTTGATCACCGATCGTCTCTTGAGGCCAGTCATAACGTCTCCTCGTAGCCAGGCGTCCGATCCCTTGCTTTGCAATTGGTGTCTGGCACTGGCCAACGTCACGACTCCCTTTGCCGCCTTATGAAGCTGCTGAAATCTTACCCAGCTTCTCAGAAGGCGCCTCAAAGATTTACCAGCAATGGTCACCAGTAGTTGACCAGGAAATTTCCTTCAAGCAATGTCGTAGTCAGACCGCAGGTGGCAAAGACATCACAAGGCTGCTGTCAACGTTCCACCTCGTTTTCTGGCATGATAATGGCCCCAAACTATAGCAAACCTACTCACTGACATTCTATGAACCAAAGAGACGTTCTTGGGGCCTGAGCGGACCATCATGGGTCAGTCGACAATGTTGAACATCAGGATCCAGTATATCCTAGCTGCTAGACAATAGAGCTGCAATGTCTCTCATTTCATGAACGTTCAGAGCATCTTCGATGCATTCGGGAAGCAATACACACCGTCCCCACAGCTTTTCATAGCTTGATCGGTCTTTGGGTCAGCGCACAGTCGCCTCGCGAGATGTTTCTCATGGTGCAAAGATGGTCGGAAACTCTTACACAACCAGCTATCCATCCCTTTTCCCCTCATAGCACCGCCCTTCATTCTGCCGATCAAATCAACAAAATGCAGCAATCTAAAAGCATCCCGGGACACTTCCTTGTACTGACAAAGCATCAGGAAATATTGCTGGCTCAGCTCAGATCAATTCAATTCAACTCCTCTGAAACACTACAATGTAGTATAGTTGCCTGACAGATTTCTAAATCACTTGACATCAATTTTCAACCGATTTCAAATACATTCATCAATGGCCTGACGAAGGTTGACTCAAAACCCACCAAATTTTAGCAGAAGTATACCACAATGTCATCCGAAAAATACTCCATACAACATTCCAACGTTCACCATAATCCACTGAATCCGTGCCTCGACATGTGCACAACCATGAAACAATCCAAAATGGCTGAATTCTAATGTTATTGAGTCTGCTTGATATGTCGTTCACAATTCTCAAGCAATATGACCAACAAAGATCAAAATCCATCGGAAATATCGTCCAATTCATTATTGAGCCGTCTTCTTAATTGTATTATAATAGGGCTGCAAATTACATTACCTCCTGTCCTTACTTTAAAAGTAAGTCAAATTTGACAGCATGGCAACATCCATCCAGTACTCATCGTAGAACCGCTCAAATATCCCTCTTTTAGCTCAGTTACTATTTCAGAATATATAAGCTTTTAGCTAGTCCATTCTAGTATCATTGAATCTCTATGATTCCTCATTGCCTTGTTCTGTAAAAAATCATGGTGATGATGATGATGTCTAGGCGCTGAACGACTATCATGAGCACCAGCGAGAAATTGACCATTTGTTGCTCAAGGATAATGCGAAGGTGGCGCTGACTTGGCCTGGCCAAGAAGGGGCCGAAGCCATCGATTTTTGAGCTTTGGGAAGATGCCCTAAGTGTTGAGTGCCATCCATGAGGATGGCTGGGCGTGAGCAGCGTGGCATGGCGAATCTGCAGTGTCATGCTGATTGGAGTGATCTGGGTTGATGTGGTTCGAGAGCGTTAAGGCCACAGAGGGTGTCGTAGTGAATGGTCTACACATGGGATCATGGATCTTGTGCTGGATTTGATCAGATGTATTAAATTCTGATGACAATGATAGGTTGGGAGACTGTAGGGTGCATGGATTGAACTTGTCAACTTTCAAGGTGAATATATGATGTAACTGGACATTAAGTGGGAGATTTGATTGGATTTAGGCAGTCCTTAGGGGCAATACGGTGATATGACTTTTAATTCTTGATGTGCATAACAAGAGGCATTACGAGAGGGATAGTAGGGAAACTTGTGGAGCATATTCTGTGGGATGTGTGGACAAGAACGAACATGAACTTACATAAATCCGGCGACCTGGCAATGTAGGTCGCTCTCGGTCTGTAGCACGCTTTGGTTACAGCCACTGCAGCCAGCCAGCCCTCCTCACCGGCTGAGGAGAGGACCTGCCAGGCCAACTGAGCGTCCCTTTCGAGAAAGGGACTCAGGCCCCGTGTGCGACGTGCATGAGACGACCGGCCGTTTCGTCGCTCGGAATCGTCCCCATTCGACTGGATTCAAATCGATCTTT